AGACAGTTTTTAACTCTCAGTGATGCTGCAGTGTTCGTTTGACTTTGGGACTTGAAAGGGATGGAGTTTAGGACCAAGATTACTCCCAGATTTACGAACGCCTTAGTCTGACAAATACGGCAATAACGACGGCCCGCTTGCATGTTCTACCAAAAAAAAAAGTGCTTTGGTGGGTATCTGACGGACAAACACCAAACCAGTTCCACACCACTGAAGTGGCACCATTTTTACAAACCCATTCTGGCTCATCCGTTTCACTCAACGATGCGCTTTCTCCCTTCTCATTCTCCGTTGCCGCTATGCTTTTTCGGCCATGTGCGTATGAAAAGAAAGGCACTGTGCATGCACGTTTTATCCATATTCCATCGCGATACTTCATTTTCTTATCGTTGCCTAACATTGTACTGGTATTACTGTGAACAGTATAATATGGCCCAGCCCTAGTTGCTATCACTTTGTATCTATCACTACGGCCTTTTTCCTCTGCTTATCCACCACTGCTATGTCTGGTTGGTTAGTCAACTACTAGTTTCTCCATCTGCATCTGGTCTCACAAGATCTTATTTTTGTCATTCTCACCACCTTTACACAGCCATACTCAGCACAGATGTTCCTGTATGCCCTATCTGAAACAATATTGCACCCTATATTTATATGCCAGATTGTTTCAGGGTCATCTTTGACCCTGCATCTGGGGATCCTGTCTGGTGTAGTGGACCCCAGTCTCTATAGATCTCGTGCTTAGAGCTTGTTCCCATTGCTGCCATGAGTCATGCGTCTGAGCCATCTTTCAGTCCAACCTTCTCCAACCATTGGTAAAAATTTTCTGAATCAGCCACCTTTTCTGTCTATTGGTGGTGCATGCTGTGCAGGGCAGTTTCTGTTCTTCCTCAGGTTTCTGTTGCCCGGGGCATTTACTAAGCACACAATGAGTTGCAGCCATCTTCCAGATGTACTCATGCATTTTGTTTTTTCACCCTGGATAGTGATAATGGCTCTGACACTCACTAGTCCTTGGCCTCCTTTCCACTTAGTGTGCAGTCTCAGGGTGCTGGACTTGGGGCGAAGCCTTTCAAGGCTTGATCAACCTCCATTGTTGCAGAACAGCTTTAAATTGTTAACCCATTTTGAGTTCCCTGAAAAAGTTTTTGGGTAACCTTACCTTTTGGGTTTGTTGGGGTTTGTTGTTGTTGTTGTTGTTGTTGTTGTTGTTGTTGTTGGTTTTTTTTACCTGTGGCAGTTAACCTTTGTATCATTTTAAACTATTTATTGGACTAGAACAACTTGAATTGTAGTAAATAACTGGAAAAATTGGGGTGTTCTAAAACGTTGACCAACTGTGTAAATAAAATTGAGTTGAATTTAACTGAATTCAAATCAATCCCAGTGAAAATCTGTGAGGTAAACTATAGACCAAAGACCATGCCAGAAGACCATTACATCTGGAGGAACTTCTTTGAGATTGCCTAAATAAGGATGGGCTGGCATTGCTTATGAGATGAGGCCTGGCTCCAGGGTGGGGCACCCTATCCGGGGCAGGGTGAACTGTTCCTTGATGTTCTACTCATACGGGTGTTCTAAATCCCTCTTTGTCTGGTCCCTCACCCAGAACCAATTTGCCATGGGAGACCCTACCA